TGTTGGCATCTTTGTTTGCTCTTTTAAAGCTTGTCGGGCTTCAAAACTATTCCATCCACTAACCATGTGTTGAATGAATAGAATTTTCATTCCTCGCCTTCCTATCATAAAAACTGACTGACTTGTCTGAAGACAAATAAGACTGGTAAAAAAGCATGGGTTTTTACATCGTTCTGTTGTAATGTTTCACATTTATTAAATGCGAGTGATCATTTCATAATTTACTTTACAGGATTTCATTGATTTCCTTCCGCCGCCTTCTCAATATCAGTTCACAGGACAAAAAACTTTCCCGTTCTTACAGGAAACGATTGAGTTTGCGATCAATCCTCACTTTGTGATTGTTGAATGTTGTGGCTATCATAATCGAGCTATAGATAACAACGATGTTACTTTATGATGTTAGAATAGAGCAGTAGCAGTAGCATTAGTAGTATTGTATCTGTTAGTTGTATTATTTGTTAATGCTGTCGCAGTAGGTTTTTGTACAGCGGTATTGTTTGCTATAGTTACCAGTTTTCCGCTCGGACAAGTGTCACATAGTTGTATCTCGGCGGATCTATGCGAATTTCACGGCGTTAAATTTGTTGTATTTCAAGGTTCTTATCGTCAACGGTCTTTAATCGTCCTATTCACGGAAAGGTTCAACGGAAACGGAAGGCGTTGTAAACAAAGAAACTTACGGAGCGATTAAAGGTACAAACAGTTTTTTTCAGCCGAGTGTTTGATTTTCAGAGCAGTATTTGCTACCGACGGTTACATTATTATCATCATCATCTTCATCATCATCATCATTATTATTTAGTAACATCGTTGTTATTTAGAATTAACTCCTGTTAAAAAGGTTGTTATGTTGATAGTGTTGTAACCAATTTTGATTGTTATGGTAATTTGTAATTCTTTGTAAGTAGTGATAGTGATGTAAGTAACTTGTAATAAGTAATAAAGTTCGCGTGAGTCACTAATAGCTGCTGTACAAACAAAACGAAAGGTAGTCAAGCAATTCATACAAACCTGTCTCAGTGTAAATTTAAAGTATTAAAAATCAGCTCTACTTGTTATATGTGCACCCAACGCTATCAGTCATAGACGTCTTACAGTTTACTAGTATGGTTCCAAATCCGATAATCAGGGAGACTTTAAAATTCCTATTGAAGATATAAGCTTAACTTCTAAGCTTATCTCCCCGAAGCAACTACATAATTTATATGGAAAACGCGAAAGTTTCTATGTAAAAAAGTCGCTTACCACAATTTGGCAGTTCACTTCAGTTTGAATCCTATAGGCAGAAACTTCTAGCAAAAGTTGCGAAGACTGAACTGAACTAATCTTTTCGATAGATCAACGAATCAACTACTCTTTTCCCGCTGTGTATTTTCCTCTAAACACAAGAAACACGTTTGATTTCTCTTGTTGATCACCTGATGAAATCATGTGACTTCTTGCGCGGCGCACATCTAGCTCGACGCGCGAAGTTCTGTAGTCTTCTGAGTAAATTTTTCGCGTATTCCAGCTCTTTTCTATAGCCGTCGTTCGCTCTGCCTCACGGCATTGTTCGGTATTATTTCATATCCTTTCTCTAGCCCTAACTCGATCTAATTCANTACTTTTAGACGTGAGGTTATCGGTATACGGCGAAAAACGACAGAAAACTAAGCTTGTTTGTTTACAATATGCAACTTTATATTCAACAACAACTCTAGTCTTGTTTGAAATTTATCAAATTTCCCCCAGTATGGTTCCAAATCAGATAATCAGGGAGACTTTAAAACTCCTATTGAAGATATAAGCTTAACTTCTAAGCTTATCTCGCCGAAGCAACTACATAATTTTTATGGGAAACGCGAAAGTTTCTATGTAACAAAGTCGCTTACCACAATTTCGCAGTTCACTTCATTTTGAATCCTATAACGAATCAAACACTTTTTCCCGTTGTGTTTTTTCCTCTAAACACAAGAAACACGTTTGATTTCTCTTGTTGATCACCTAATCATGTGACTTCTTGCACGGCTGCACATCTCGACGCGCGAAGTTCTGTAGTCTTCTGAGTAAACTTCTCGGGTATTCCAGCTCTTTTCTATAGCCGTCGTTCGCTCTGCCTCACGGCATTGTTCGGTATTATTTCATATCCTTTCTCTAGCCCTAACTCGATCTAATTCACAGCATTGTTCAGTACTATCTCGCCTCCTTTCTAGCCTTGGCCCGCTCTTTCGCGATCTTCTTCGCCACTTCTTTGGCTGTTAATCCTTGCTCTCTGCCGTTCTCTTTCGCGTTCTGCTTCAGTTAAACCCTATCTTGAAAACGTTAGATCAACCCCTCCGATCGTTTGTTAACATAAAAAATAGAGATAAGTTTTTCTTTCCCTCACTTTTCTGAAAAATCCCGCCCAGAACAGATGGCATTCCTTAGCTTCCCCGTGAGGCCTACCTCGAGACGCCCCTCCCCCGCCCCCAGAGTCTGTACGGACGGCGTTCGCTCGCTGGTACGCTGACGTCATAACCAAATTTTCTCGGCTTGATGGGTTACCAACTCTATTTACCCATGGTGCTTCGCTGGCGCGCTTCGCGCGCTGAAGCTCCGCTATGAAAATTAATCGAGGAATCATGAATTGGGAAGATAGTTTCTCAACTGTTATTTTTTTTGTGTGTAATGTCGATTTTTTTAGCGGGTTTGATCTGTATTTCAGTAGCTTGAGATGTATCTTCTGACGTGAAATTCATTAGGTACATAACCGAAACGTGCACTGTCTTTGAAATCCCTTAGGATTTGAAAACTAAAGTTTATGTATATCCAGTTTTAATTTGACCATCTTAGCGAGAAGCAAGAAGACTACTTTTACTCACCTGTCTTGTTTACCATTGGCAATCTTCCAGAGAAGACACTGGGCATCATCAGCATAGAAATAAAGAGACAGGGCAATATTTTAACGAGCCTTTTCATCTCAAAAGTGAGCGAGGGTAAAAATTGCGCCAATACTGAATTTACTTAGAAGAGAGAGTTTTGTAACCTCTTGAGAGAATGATGCAAGTTTACCGTATCGAAACTTATAGCAAAACCCTTAGCAAAACATGTTTCTTAGGAATTACGCTATTGCATTGAAATGGGTTACCAATTTTACTTACCCATGGTGCTTCGCTGGCGCGCTTCGCGCGCTGAAGCTCCGCTATTAATCAATAGTAAGATGGTGGCGTAAAGTGCTCTAAAACGTGTGAGTTAAATGAAAATAAAAATCGGACTGTCAGTCAAAGAATTTGTAGACTGGAAAAATAGCTGATGGTGCAAGGAGCAAATAAAAAACACGGGGCATCTGCTATAGTCACGCAGATTGCGTCTGAGAAGACTGGGAAGAGAGATAGAATGAAGGCACGGAGTGTAGGACGCGTCCTCTTATATGTTCTCCTCGAGTCCATGAAGAAGTGAACTAGTTATCGAGTCCTACAAAACCAAGTTGCTGAAAATTATGGAGGTTTTAGTTTTGCTTGGGTAAAAGTACATTTCATTGTCCTGAACTCCTTTAATTTAACCGTTGGTAAAAGCCAAAATGAAAGAAAAAATAAAAAGAGAAAATGCAGGTAAATCTTGGGGAAAAACTACAATTGAAATTAAATACATGCCTTTTCATCAATTCAAAAAAGAGTATACACTGTCCCTCTGCTAGTGAGACATGAATATTTTAAATACTCGCATTAGCTACTTTATTTAAACTTCTATTTAGTTACTTATTATTTATAAGTTATTCCTTATCACCTACTTTACTAACTTACTACTTGACTAATTTTACTGGTTTGCTCGCTAAATCGAAAGCGTCTGCTTCTTTGGCCACTACATACTTCTCTTTTTGGTTTGTGTTTGTGTTTCTTTTTTTACTGCACCAAATTTTTGTAATTGAAAACAGTGTGAGTAACTGAACTTGCACTTGAAACCATTAAAACACTAACAACTGAAGTCAAAGCTCCGTGCAATGTAAAAAAAAATTGATAATTCTTGGCGCTGTGTAACTCTGCATTACCATATTCCGTAAGACCCAAGAGATTTTCATTTGTTTCTAACACTACACAATTAACAAATGTTGGCCGAGGTTGAGCAACATATTGTCAGTGGGGAGCAGATCAATTATCTTAGAGAATATCACTCGGATTTTAAGTCATGTGAAGCATTTGGAACAATTGTGCGACGGGGAAAACATGATGGATCATGATTTGCGATAACCAAGTTCAGTAATAGCCTCTTCATCAAAACGAGGCCTGGTGCACAACCATTCATATGAAAATGAGTTTACTTTGCATGTGAATGAAATCTCGTTTTCAGAAGAAAGGATGGGCACCAAGACTTGTTTTAAGAAAGAGGCTAAAGGTGATTCGGAGATGGCCTACATTATTGTTTTATCTTTCGATCGCCAAGTTTGTTTTCATAAGTCAATCTCTGGCAGCTCACGGAAGCGATCTGCTAATTTTTCACACGAGAGCCTGGTTACAATTACGCATGAGCAGACCATTATTTGTGGACAGTTATTTGCAGGGCACGTGGTGGGCTCTCGGCCAATGAAAAGGAAGAAAAAAATGCATGGAATGATAATAAATGTAGTTTGCACGATTTGATAGATGAAATTCTCCCTCATTTCTATCGTAACAAAACCACGACATTATAAAACCAAACAGTTAATCTTCGCTTTGTGATTCAATGAATTGTCCAGAATATAAAAGTAAGAAGTGTTGCAACATGTAATGGCTTTTCAAAGAATTGTCTAAACTCAGTGATTGTTAATGAAGTAACTTTGGGAATCCCAACTGACAGGAGGCACACCACTTGGCTATTTACAAGCGTGGCCAAGGAGTTGAATATGGGACTAGAAAAAGATACAGCAGTCAATATCTCTCCTTCTCAGAGTTTACTGATGTATTCACCTCGAAACGCGCTTTGCGATAATTGGAAGGCCCGCGGTGCATGACGCGCCGTCCTTTCTAACATCCTCTCCGGAGCCTCTGAAGAAGTGCACTAGTTAATTGTCATCTGGTTTCGAGTCCTAAAACATCAAGTTACAATTAAAACTTATCAAGATCTTAGTTTCGCTTTGGCGAAAGTCTCTTTCATTGCCCTGAGCTTTCCTGATTTGACTGTCGGTAAAAGCCAAAATTAAAGAACGACACTAAAAAGAGGAAATGCCCCGTAAATCTACAAAAAAAAAACTCAATTGATATTAAATGCACGTCTTTTAATCAGTTTAAAGGAGCTCTGTACAATGCCGGTACTTGGTAGCGAGACATTAATACTGAAAACACTCGCATTAGCTACTTTATTTACACCTCTATTTAGTTACGTATTATTTATAAGTTATTTCTTATCACCCACTCGACTAACTTACTACTTATCCGATTTCACTGGTTTGGTTGCCAACTCGAAAGCGTCCGCTTCCTTGACCACTACAGACTTCTTTTTGTTTTGTTTGTTTTTCTGTTTGTTTGTTATTTAATGCGACAAATTATTGTAATTGAAACAATTGTGAGAACCTGAACTTGCACTTAAAGCTACTTAAACACTTAAAACCTGAGGTCAAAGCTCTGTGCCCTGGCCGTTAAGGGCATCATAGCCGATGAAACTTCGAGAAAAAAATTGGTTTCCCTAATTATCATCAACTGCCATTTACATGATCAGCCGGCGCGAAGAAGTTTGCCATAATTGTACTCGACGATAGTTTATTTTAAGCTCCCTCTAACTTCTACTGCCATGCTTCTGCCACGTAAATCATTGACAGATGGTCCTAAATAAATTTAGAGCCTTTGTATATGGAAAAAATTCCTTGGTAGTTTCTAAACAGCAGAGAACCGTTTACATGAGAAATCTTGGGTGACCCTGGGTAGAGAACAAGTTGTTTTGAAGGCAGGGAGCTTGTAGACATCACCCCTACCAGGGGTACATTGGGACTTAACGAGCATGAGCAAACTCGAGATCTGGCGGGGCCTGAGTTTTTGACCTAACCGGTAAAGGATAGGAGGGGAACGGGTAACCCTCCTGAGGAGGAAGTATATCTTGAGTACTCGTTACTGAATATTGACTACTCACTGATCATTTACTACTACTTTCGTTTCTCATTAACCAGTCTTGTCACGGAGTTACTCCTTGCAAAAATTAAATCGTCCTTTTGATTCAAACTGTGGCTGTATTCGGGGAACGGCTGAGCGCCATCTTCAATTTCAATGTCAGACCCTGGGTATGACGCTGGTGCAAAGCAAGCCTGCAAAAGCAGAAACATAAAGAATCACTGTATCTCTGACCGAGATATTCTCCCCAAATAAAACGATTTACTTCATATAAAACAGATCAAAGGTTTTCTCAATATAACCAAGGTGTGAAATCCCTTCTTTCTTTAAGAACGCAGATTTTTGTTTTGCGCGAGAGGAGTACGCATTGGACCAGCTTTAGCAAAATAACGTGATATGTTATTAGCGGTAGCTCTCAGTAGATTTTTAGCCTACGCAAGTGCCTGCATCAATGCTGGAGAATTTTCACTGTGCGATTGCCTACACAGGCATTCAGAGTGCGCCTCCAGTAGTTTTGTGAGCTTTTTTGCGTTTTTATAGCTCAAGGGTATAATTGAAAAAATGCCAATAAGTGACTTTTAACGACATATGTTAAGTAGAGCATCATCTAGATTACGCTTGAACACTGATACTGCACACTCTCTAATCAAATAGGATTCTACGTGACATTAAAATCTCCGTTGACCGTTTCCAAATATTTGCATTGGTTCCGGAGATATCTGAGTTTAAAAATTGCGTCAAATATGAAAATGAGAGGACTGATGACGTCATACACTCAGCCAAATACTACATCAAGTACATAAACAGAGCTATCTCGGTCAATTTGCAGCAGAAACCAGTGAAACTTGGTAGGCTATTATTATTACATGCAACACACCTACCGCTATAAAAATTTTGGTGCCCAAAGCAACCCACTCTTTCCAAGTCCCCTCCAACCTGATTTCAATATTTTTAATAATTTTTAGCTCAAAAAGCATTAAGCAAGGCCATGAACTCGACCTAACATATTTCTGTGCTTGCTGGATCATGCAGATCAGGTACCCTTGGCAAATATCAATACAGAACGCTACAGGTTGGCAGAAAAGTCTTTAATATCGGGTAGGTCTAGAACCCAGTATGTTGCCATGGTAACAAAATCTAGGGTTCAAAATGTGGAGTACCTCTTCTAGAATCGTATTGGCAAGAGTTAAACGTTTCTGATTCAAATTGGCTGACATATCTTCGTTCATAATATTTTATCAAAATCAGGTTGAGTTTATGACGTCATCGCTTAACTAATCTGCATATTTTTAAAAACTTGAATATCTCTGGAACGATAAGAAATAATTGAAAATAGTAAACAGAATTTTTCCTTTCGTACCGACTACTTTTCTATGCTTAAAAATGGCTTAAATAGGAAAGATGCAATTTTCGTCAGAGTACCTCCTTAAGTAAACTTACTCTTATTTTCCAAAGTCAAAAGTCACATTATCTCCAATCAGCATAAATGGTGCCCAGTCGTCAACTTTATTAAAGCCGTTACCTCTCATCCACTTCATGGCCTGGTGAAGAGATTCACTGGCACTCTCGCCACGAACAAGATGCTCGTAGAAATGACGCATCAGCTGCTCTGTTGCTTTGTCACTTATGGCCCAGAGAGCCACCAAAACAGACCGTGCACCGGATCCTAAGAACGCTCGAGCAATCCCAACGACTCCTTCGGCTCTAATCTGCCCACATGCACTATGACAGCAGCTAAGTACCACCAGTTTAG